ATCTAACGGGCAGTCTTTGGTCTCATTAATCTATTATTTGTTCCAGAGCAAATAGTTTTGGCTGAGGGGAAAATCTTATCACGTTATATTTTATGTAACTTTAATGCTGTATGTTGTGTCTTGTGTATTTAATCACTCGTGCTGTTGAACTGTTGTATAAATGCAATATCACATTCATAGCTGTGCGATATGGCTGTATATCGGCATGCTGTGATTACCTATGGCCGAATCACACCATGCCAATATACAGCCATAATGCACTGCTACTCGTTTGATATCGCTGATTTAAGTATTGGAGTGATGCACAGTGATTGGTGGGTAAATTTACCTCTACACTTACTTTTGAAGTGAAGTGTTGATGTCCCCTTATTTCCTATTCTGTTTGCTGTGCCCTTCGAACTGAACATGTATGCTCTCTTAGTATTAGAATCTCACTTAAGATGGCAGTATACACTATGAAGTCCACTTCGCAGGGCACTTATGGTCAAAGGAAACGTGTCTTATTGTGGGAATGAATGCAGAGCAATTACTGAGAGTGCCAAAAATGTGGCAAACATTCAGGTTTATGCTGTTAACAGGAGGAAAACAAAGTGGCAGCCATAAAGCCGAGTGGACACATACGGTCAAGGTGAAATTAGGGTAAAGTTGTATCTTCCTTGATTGTGTTTCTTGATCTTTTATACAGATATTGAACTTCTTAAAGGTAAGTTATACATTTTCAAATGCTAAATCAGTTTGACACTGATTCCAAATATAAACAATAACTTCCTAAACATGAATCAAATTAAGCCAAAGCTGCATCATGACCTTTTTTTGCAGATTATGATACAGCACATGACTACGACTATGACTACAACATCCATTATGAGTCATGTGAGTTAAAAACATTACAAATTTTAGCTTGGTCTACTTTTTCAGCTACCAGGAATTATGATGTAGTTTTTGGATTTGTTAATTTTTCTTTCAGATTCTGATGCTGAAGTGTCTGGTAAGCACTTCCTTCATTTATCAATTCATAATCTGTGTTTGTGCAATAAAAAAAACCTTTAGAAATGCAGTGCAACTACATTCATTAACTTGTAATAAGCAGCACATTTTACTGTAGTATGTCTTCAATTTCAACAGACCCAGATAACCAACCCAGTTTAAGTTCAATTAGAGTGTTCTCCTCCTCAGGTATGACTCAAGGACAGAATATCTTATGAAATATTAAATTTTTCCTTTAGCTATTTTTGCACATTTAAAGTTAAATATAAAATTATAATCTCATTAACATAAGAGTATTTTGTGTCTCTGAAAGTGGATGGAGACCCACATTTTGTTGTTCAGCTCCCAAAGCTCCATCAGAACTTGTGTTTTACCATCGATGGCAGGGCTGATGATGTACTACGGCTTCTTGTGGACCCAGACAAAGGTGGTTTTACGGTTTTACATCCAATATATAGCTTATTGTTTAGATACTCTTTTAACATGATTGATGTCTCTTGTTCCTGTTTTATACTGTTAGGCATTATTGTGGATGGGCATTTAATGCTGGCTCCTTCTAAAGAGGGGCTGGAGAATCGTACTCGTACCTTCTTCGACAGGATTTCCATCACTGCAGCCAAAGGTGCCATTATGATCACATTAACACTGGACTCAGTACAAGTGGAAGTGGATGGGAAGGAAATTGAGATGCTGCCCATCAATCAGAGAGGATCTGTGGAGCGGCATGGCATGAGAATTACGGTTGAAGAACACCAAAGCTGTTGGATTGAGCTCGGGGTTGGTGTTCAGTTCCTCATTCTCTTCCATCACTACAACCATCCCAAATACTTTCAAATGGAGCACCTGGGCTTCTATATTGCAGATGGAAAGGGGCTTTCTCATCTCACTCATGGGCTGTTGGGTAGGTAACACCATTTCTCTTTTTTTTTAAAAATCTTATTCAGTGAGGTGTCAAATGGTTATTCAGCCATATTTTGCCATTTTTGAGATCTTGTATGGGTATTTATTTCCAGGCCAGTTTCAACATACCCTTATGGAGGTCATAAGGGTTTCAAGGGATCAAGCTGGTTTCCATCATGCACAAACAAATAAGAACACTTCACAGGCCATGGGTTTGCTAAAGAAAGGAGACGAGCATTTTCCTGTCTCTCTACAAGACAAGATTCTGAAGGACTCATCCAGGAAGCGACACTCAGCTCAATGTTGGGAAGTGCCAAAGGTAGATGTAGACAGACTTCTGGGCCAGTCCTATGAGAGCTATGTCGTGGATCACCAGTAGATAACCTTCATACCATGTCTCCACATCTACAGAGTTATGAAAGGTACAGAAAAGACACTGGAACTTGAATCTTTTTCTTTTTGACAAGTGAAAAAACTGATGGGGGAGAGAATAGGAATATACACAAGCTGTGATGAACTGAAGGATGTTTCTGAAGCATTGACTGGTCCAAATATTTACATTTGAACATAATGGTACAATACCATTCAAAGGTTTGTGGTCAGTAAGATTTGTTTTTGAAAGAAATCACTTGTATTCTGCAAGTATGCTTTCAGTTGACCAAAAGTGACGGTAAAGACATTTATAATGTTAAAACAATTTGTTTCAAATAAATTAAATTGAACTAATAATTCATCCAAGAATCCTGGACAAAAAAATCCCTGAAGACTTGAGTAATGGCTTTGCCATTACAGGAATAAATTACTTTTTAAAGTATATATATATATATATATATATATATATATATACACTGTATTTTTGATTAAATAAATGCTTCCTTGGTGAGCATAAGAGTTTTCTTTCAAAAACATAAAAAAATCTTGCTGTTATTAGTGCATTTTTATCAGTAAATTCACAGTAATCAAATATTTTTTTCTAATCTTCCAGCTAGTTTGCATAAATATGTATGTGTGTATATATATATATATATATGCCTTCATTTAAAATAATATACAGGAATTGTGTAGTGATTATATAATATTGTATATTAGTAATGAATATTGAATGCCTTACTTTGTCCTGTTAGGAAAGGAAATCTTTCTTCATGTGCCAATAACCAAACGTAACCAAAGAAAGACTGAGTTTCATTTTATTCATATTTATTTTTGTTGCACAAGACTGCTCAAACACGAGATGAAATTCACAACTTAAAATTGTCGAGTTTGTGTGTCAGTTTTTTATAAGATGTTTAGTTGTTTCAACATTGAAAATGAAAGACAAAATGAAAATAAATACAGTACAAAACAGTTAATCCAAACATATGCGACAATATGCTGGAGAGGTGCAAAACATAACCAATATAGCAATGCAGCGTAATTATATTTGATTCCAGTTATCATTAATTCACAATCTAATTTGTGCACTATAAGGAAGAGAGTTCAAGACCTGTATGTTTCTATGTGAATCTATAAGGCCATAAGTGACTTTGGCCCAATAAAATTCAAGAATGTAATGAAACGGTCACACTCCTTGTTTTACATAAAAAAAAAATAAAGAGGGGGGAAAAACTACAGTCAAAGTCTTTTTCTGAGCAAAGGTGAGTATGGAAAACATGAGAATGCTTGTATATTCTACACTGAAAGCTGTACAGAGAGTTCAAACAGCACACCATTATCATCTGCTCCAGACTAACTATTGATGGCAATTCAAATCATTTGAAAACAAAAACAAGCATGATTAGAGATATAAGGAATGGTGAAAATGACCAGTCATTGTTCAATACTAAGTTTGTCGTCTTGTAGTTTCTAACAGCCAAGTGTAAATGCAAAGACTACATGTGTCAAACACAGATAAAACCGAAATCAAAGATGCAGATTGATTGCATGATGCAGTGAGAATCTTTACAGTACACAGAGAGAGGCATAGTGTTCATCACAATTCAAAGAGCATGTATGTATTTAGTAGACTGGAGTCAGCCCGGTTTACAAAAGCCAGAATACCAATGGATATGGCTACTATCAAATACCAAAGGATCTGATACTCCTTAAAGTCACATTATCGTTTTCTTCTGCAGCTGTGGGAGTGAAAATTGCTTCCACATTCTTATTAAGACTCCGTAACAGACTAAGTAATCGACTCATGTTTGCACACATTTGCATTCGATAACAGCTGTCCATATCGGTTTTCACTACAAACAAAATGAATGATAGCA